AAGAAGAAGAAGACGAAGAAGAAGAAGAAGAAGAAGAAGAAGAAGAAGAAGAAGAAGAAGAAGAAGAAGAAGAAGAAGAAGAAGAAGAAAAGAAAACAATACCTATAATACCCTCCTGAGGTGCATTTCCTTATTCCTTTTATCATCTCTTGATGCGTAATTTTAAACTCTCGTCCTGGAAAGAGAAGGGTAGCCATGACAGCAGCTTTAGAGTGGGTATGAATCACTGCGCCCGCTCCTAAGGAAGAAGAATTGTCAATTTTCAGGGAAGATAATTATACTTTTTTACCCCCTCTCTGTGGTACTGGGGAGTGAACCCAGGGCCTTTGCACTAAGCTACAGCCCCAGACCTTTTTATTTTTTTAAATTTTGAGACAGGCTCTTGCATGGTTGCTAAGTTGTGTAGGCTGGGCTCAAACTTCAATCCTCATGTCTTCCAGAGTGCTGGGATTCCAGGTGTGTTCCACCACACCTGCAGTGTACAGTATACCTCTTAAAGTAAAAACACCAATTTGTGTGTGTGTGTTTATTTATATATATATATATATATATATATATGGGTTTGAACTTATTTTTTCTGGCATGGAATCATAAGCTGGTGTTGGGTAGGAGGGTAAATGGAATAATAATGGACCTTCTCCATAAGCTCATGTGAGAAATGAATGAGTTAAAATATTTCATGTTTTTGTACCTAGTAGGAATATTAACTAAAACAATAATTACTATTATTTAAGGAGCCTATTCTGCAAATATTCTTTGTGGCAAATACATTTTCTGCATACCTCTCATCGTGTATGCATTCATAAAAAGAGGAGTACACTGGCTTTTTTTTAGCTTCTTAGATTCTGGAGGTCCACTTATATCCCGTTCACTTATATCACAAACGAACATGTCTTCCGGCTATTTCCAGGAGGAGAAAGAAAAAAGGAAGGCTTATACAATTATCAGTTTGGAATGTCCCTCTTTGCATGTGTAAACATACACACATATAGATGAATATATGTATACACACATATAGGGTACATATGTGTATACGTATATAGCACACATACATATAGAGTGTTAATATATGTACATTCATGGTTAACTCATTTTAAATATTCATGTAGTTTCTCAAAAAATGTTACCAGTGTTAAGAAATTTAAAAATGCTTTCTACTTCAGCAGAACTGAGAAATAAAAGTTTTCTACAAATAAAAATATTCTTAACAGTTTAAAAAACTACTTTCACTTAGAATTTGAAGGAAAAAATTGACGTAGAAAACTAATATGTATGTAATGATGTTGCTGTCATTTCTGATTTAGCTTAACTTTGTCCTATAATTTTGCAACTATATTCCAGGGAGACAATACAAAGAAATCAACATTCCCAGGTGGGTGTTATAATTTTTTTTTTCACATCTCATAAAGAGGAAAATTTCATATCTCCTGAGAAAATTTTAACTGGTACCCAGAAAGATTGACCTAAATAAGGTATATTATTCTTAAAGTTCTAAGGAAGCTTGTAAACCACAGATTTTTTTCTTAGTAATGCATGTGTATATTTCTGATTTGTAATTTTCATTTGCCAGGATTTACAGACTATGATATAAATGTTTTACTAATGAAGCAGCTTTTTCTTTCTTGGCTTAGATAGAAATACTCTGTGGATATTTTACCTAGACTTTGAGTATTATTCCAGCATTAATGTAGAACATGATTTCTCAATTATAATAACTTTTTATTAGAATTAAGATTGTGCTATTCACTTCTGCCCCCTGCAGGCTCAGTGAGATTTCAAAGCATACATGGGTTGCAAGGAGGATACAAACCACCTTAAAAAATTAGTCAACAAGTGTTTGTTGATTAGTTATTTAAATTATCACAATATAACCAAGCACCCTTTAAAACTAATATAATCTTTTAGAAGTTTTCACAAAACAAAAGCAGAACAGATAAGATATTTGGGTTTATAAAGGATCCCTTTACTATACCTGAATTTGTTCCTTTTGCACGCCTGAAGGAGCAATGTAGATTTCATTGCTGGTAACACAAAATATAGACAACGATTTTTATTTAACTAATTTTCTGTTTTTGCACAAAGTTCATCATAGCAGTCCAATAATTAACATTCTTTATAAATCAAGTTATAGAAACAGCTGTATGGTTTAATTAAAGATTTAGGCTGCACAGAAAGAATATTGAACTACTTTAATGCCTTTGTAATGCTGGTGGCACATCAAAATGCAGGTAGTTGGTTTCTGTCTTCCACATTTTCGTACATTCTTATTTCTTTTTATGGTGCCAAATCTATGGTAACCAGGTTCTGATGTAGTTAGAGGACAATCTGAATATTTAAGTCTTTGGCACCTTAAAGCTTGAATAAGCACAGTTTATCCTATTATATATGAAATACAGTCACTCTAAAACTCAATCAGGGGAAAATATGCTCCAGAGGAGATTTCTGTCATGCAAAGAATCAGGTTTAATTTTATTGCTTGAAACACCTATTACAAACTATGAAGCACAGAGACCTCTGCTGGACAGTTTATTACATTACAGCATTAATACTGGGTTAACTGATGCCTATTTGAAAAGTTCAAGTTTCTTGGAAAACATATAGCAATAAGCTTAACAATTTCAACAAGTTAAAAATATCAAAAGGATGGTTATATGTGGAGATCTCTTTGTTACAGGACTTTATGTTATGAGAGATGCTAGACCCTGTCATTTTCCACCAGGTACTTCCAACTTGAATTTTCAAATTAATTTCAAAATGTTCTCTAACCTCTTCACCGTCAACAGGGTCCTTTGGCTTGCTTATCAGCTTCAGTTGCCGACAGAGTGTATTAGTGAAGTGCGACATAAATGGAGACCAGGGGAACGCTGATGCTCTAGCTTATGCCCCTGAAGTACAGACACAGGGGCACACTGTACCCAACGCTTCGTAGTGAGAATGATGATGAGGACTTATGTCAAGCTGTCCACTTTGGATTACTAATAAACCCATAAACTTGGAACTGCCAAAAATGTCAACTAAAATAAAAGTTTCTTTCAGGCTCCATTGGTAAAGTCTAGAAAATAAGTGCTTAATAATGACTGAAATCCAATGCAGAGTAAGCTGCATGCACGCATTAGCTTTCAGGAAGTAGCTAGTGTTTTAGAGCCCTGATGCACAGGGTAAGAGAGAGGCACTGTCCTGGAACCTGTAAAGATGGACGGAATCGTATTGTAAAAGGGACTCCTTGCAAATATCAGTGGTCTACATCTTTTGTCCTTGTATAACATGGAAGAACTCTAGAATCATTGGTGGTACAGCTCATGCACTCCATGGGTAAGTGGAGGTCTTTTGGTATAGGTAGCAATTCATATAATCCTGGTAATGGACCCAGATAAAATACAAAATAACCTTCTGGCAGATAAACTCCATCTGCAAAGTAGGAGAACCAAGGTATTTATTCTGTTTATTCAAAAGATTTGATGTGGTAAGTTTATTCTTATTACTGTCTTCATAAAGCAAACTTTGATAAACTTTGGGCTATTAAAAGACTAGCTAAACACATTTTAGTCAAAAATGTACTAACCCCTACAAAGAAAGAAATACTTGGATAAACTATAAAGATGACAGAGCTTTTATTTTAAGAGGGAAACATGCCAAAGACTAAAGTAAAATGTTTATTTGGTACTGTAAGCCACAAATAAAAAGCATTTTAAATTCCAAGGTATTAAGTTTTGGAATTTATTTCTCCCTGCTGTTTCACTGTGTTGTAAGCAGGGGAACAAAACTCAAGAGTTCATAATACTTTCATGTTCAATTGCTTCTCTTTTTATTTACTCCCTGGTGATTTAAAAATATCATTTAAATTTTACTATGCCTCAATGATTTCATCCGTGATACGGGTTTATTAAATGTAATCCTTACTAATAGGATACAACAAGATTAGTGTCTCTGATATATACAGTGGACCCTTGACTTACAAACTTAATTGGTTCCCGAGGGCTGGTTGTAGCTCAAGTTGGTTGTAAGTCAATACAGCTGAGATCTGGATGTTTACCTGGGTACACACTATTGCTAACAAGAGGCAGATGAATCTTCCATTAACTTAATTAACCTAAGTTGTTTATATGTCAGGCTGGTCTTACCTTGAGGGTCCACTGTACATTAAAAGACAGCTTATGACAAACATAAGAGATAAATCAGAACGAGGAAATGGAGGCCCAAGAAAATAACATTAGTCAAGTTAATTCTGGGTTACTCTGCAGCCATTGTGTTTCGTTTATGTCCTTAACACACAAATTTAGAATTTCTTATTTTCATGTTGTAATACTAATACAGTGGATCCTCAAGTTACAACTAGCCTGACATACAAACAACTTAGGTTAATTAAGTTAATGGAAGATTCATCTGCCTCTTATTATCAATAGTGTGTACCCAGGTAAACATCCAGATCTCAGCTGTACTGACTTACAACCAACTTGAGTTACAATCAGCCCTAGGGAACCAATTAAGTTTGTAAGTCAAGGGTCTACTGTACATCTTTTGGTACCACTTGCCAGTAGTGTAAGCTGGAATGGTTTCAGGCAAACCTTGAAATCAGTCAATCATTCTGTATTTCCAAACAGCTTATTGTTAGTACTATTCTAGAAACATACATAACCTACTGAGTTTGCATTTCATTCTAAATTCATTTGCCCCAAAAGTAAAAAACAATCACTAGCAACATGAGAATGATGTTACTGATAAAGCTAGTGATGTGGGCTCACGAAGTGTTTCAAGTATTAGAGGCAATAGTCAACATTTTACTGGAAAATATTAATTTGTGTAGAGCACAAATTTAGTAACATTCCAAAGACAGTGCCCTGAAACTGTGGCTCTTTTCCGTCTGTTGCCTCCAGGAGGAGCTCCTCACCTATTAAGGATCTAAGGGGAAAAAAAAAATTGACACATGATGCAACTTCCCTTAACTTGACTGCAGTGCTATAAAAGCCATTTAATTTTAAAAGATGTGCCAGTAAGTGGTTTTGGTGGCCACACACACAATCAAAGTGCATAAATTAGTACAGTTCTGCTGGAATGAACAGTTCTTTGTGACTTCCTGCTAGAAAAAAAAAACCCTCAAGTTCATATTCCTATTTTTAATTTTGCTGTTTTAAAAAAAGAGCTAGTTAGAAATGGTCATTTTAGCTTAGTTTAGTAGAGTGCTCTATTTGGTACATGTCAAAACTATTTTCTGCGTATGCAAATAAATAGTAGTTAAGGAGAGGCAACCTCGACTATGATTTATTATCAATAATATAGCAGGAAAACCAAATAACTGGGACTCAATTTCTAAGTGAATAAGTAAAACAAGAATAAACTGTTGTTGGCATAGGGTTAGCTGTGAACAGGCCAATTTGGAAGCTTTGGCAAAATAATCTAAAATCTTACATAACGTTGAACTGACACAAGAGCAACTGGGGTAATGGTGAGAGAGCACACAGATGGATGCATAGATCTAACATGTGGGCACGATCTCACTGGATTCAGAGCATCTTACATCCACAGCTGTCCCAGCTGTTGACTGAGGCCCACTTGCTATTTCCCACTTTCAATTAATATTTCATGAATTACTTGGTAATTTGAAACAGATGGAATTACAATCACATCATCTTGTGGTATGACATAAAATTCCTTTCGTCTAAAATGTTCTGATTTTATCTTACTTTCCATTTCTTATCATGCAATGGAGTCTCCTTGGGGGCATTACAGTACATATATGTAATCAATAACATAAATATTTTAAAAATCCAATTTTCTTAAAGAAAGTGAATTAGGAAAAAGAAATAAATCAGCATCACCAAGTTTAATATTCAGCCTCCAGAGTGTATTATTCCTAAAATATTTCAGGAGGGAAATCAATAATCTTATTTCAGCAACCTGTGAGACAATGAGACTCCACAACCTTTATTTTCATTGTCAGTAAGGTATTTATTCTTCACCCTCTTGCAGGGAATATATTGAATAAATATAATAAAGAATAAAAAACTATTTACTCTCTGTTTCAATTTAAGTCCAACTCCTTTTTTCTTCTCTGAGGAATAAAGACTAGCAGATACTATGTCCATTAATAATGATATATCTGCTTAGAATAACATATGGATTTTCTTATGAATCAAAACATAATTTTTAGAGGCTAGTAATCTATACTTAAGTGACAGTAAAATATTACTTGAACCTTTGAAACAAATCCTGTCTATCTAGAAAGGATTCTTTATAATTTCAGACATATGAACATGGTAGCATGTTGTCTAACAAGGACTAAATTATTCTGATTAAAATTTGTGGTTCTTAAATCCTTAGGTATTTATAATCATTACAACTTGACCACACTGGTTCCATTCAGTTATGCAAATATCCATTTGACCAGTTAGAAAATAAACGCCATCAGTCTCACACCAAATTGACTACCAGCTGTTCTCTTGCTATGCCACAGGACAAGCTCCCTGTGGTCTATTCATGTGGAAAATTCCTAGGGACGAAATCAGTTGGAAACTTACCCATGCTTCAAGCTAATCCCTCCTCCAGTCCCAGTGACCCAGCCCAAATGGTAAAACTGTTTGCAAAGCTCTGGAATCAGGTATCTTGGATGTTTCTTGTCCTAAAGAAGAAAATGATCTTTAAAATGGACATTGTTTTATCAAGTAATTACTCTAGCTGGCATTTCTAACAAGTAGCCACTTTAGGGAAGGTTAAGAAAATCTATCATACAGAGGATACAGGGAGGGAGAAAATTGTTACAAATATATTTTGTTTGTAATGTTTAGAAAATGGATTTACTACATTGATTGGTAGCCTAGGATGATTCAGTATAGGGCCATACAATCTAACAATATAGAACAGGGGGCAAGAACAAGGTGGGGAGGTGCGTTATTACAAAGGCCTACTGAAATGGCTGAAAGAAAACAGAATCTAGTGCCAAAAAGAACGTGCTTTGGTCTATTCAGAAAATGTTATTTATGCAAAACATCTTATTCAGTTAAGGCATGGTATACATGAAATACAATGACTGTTATATATTTGCCACATACTGTTTTGGTTCAATTTTTTTAGTTTTTTAAAGGTGCTGTCTTTTTTCCAAGGTGAATTTATTGTTTTCTTTTATTCCAAAAACAATACATGCTCATTATGGAAAATAAAACCAAGCATAACAGCATAGAAAAACACTCAAAAATCACAATTAATTGTTGCTGGAACCATTTTTTTGACAATCTGTCTTTATAGGAATACTATATATGCATAAAGAGTGGGATAAATTACATCAACTTTATATATGTCCTGTAATTTACTTCTTTAGAAAAAAACACACCAATACCCCCCCTCGTATAGTTTAATGAAAACAAGTAAAAACACAATGAATTCCATTTTTCTCAGTATGACACAATCCTTAAAACAAGTCAAAATGCTGACTAATTATGTTACAAATAATTCACAATAAATAGCTGAACTTGCAAGAAAATAAGCTTTCACAGGGTCATAAAAGAAATACGAGTGAGACTGCCTGGACAGGAGGGAGCTCCAAAGTCAGAATTTCCGTACTTGTAAAACTCACGAGACCCTGAGCTTCCATTCTGATAGAAATTTGAGTTAAAACCTAAGGCTTGCTCAAAATGGGGACATCTACTAGAACAGCCCCACCCAAACTGGAGACCTCAGAAAAGCACACCAAGAAAGCTTGCCTCTGCTGGCCTTGGCTCTGGATAAAGGAGAAAATATTTTTGATTCCAGCGAAGGAGCATTACGTATTTAACACACTGAATTCTCAGCTACTTAACTGGATACCTGAAATTACGGTGTTTCTGAATCTTTGTTTCATGTTAGGTAAGAATTAAGAATGATAATCAATAGAGTAGCCTTTAAAATATAAAATTAGAAACATGAGAACCTGGAAGTATTTTATTTGGGGGTTTGGTTTGTTGAGACAGGGTCTTGCTATGTAATTCAGGCTGGCCTTGAACTCGTGGAGTTCCTCCTGCCCCAGCTTTAAGTGTTGGGATTACAGGTGTGTGCCACCACGCCTGGCTGGAACCTGGACGTTTTTAAAAGTTCTGGTTCAGCACAGGCTTAGGAGTTACCAATTTAGTCAAATCCACATCACACCATTCTTCTCTTACGTGACTTTCTCAGTTTACTCATCCATAACATGAGAATGTCATGGGGAGTAAAATGAGATACAGTGGATATAAAGCATCCGGCACAATGTCTGACACAGTCAATGCTAGTTTGCTTTCCATTTTACAGGGTTAAAAATTCTTGAATTAAAATTAATTTTATTATTACCTTAAGAGCAATAGCAAAACAGATATTTCTTATATCTGTCTCTAAGAAATCTACCCAAAATTATGAACGCCCTATATAATTTGCAATTTCCTTTTTTAGGGACATAAAGGATATTTTAATTACATATTAAAGCACAGCTAATGGGAAGATTCCTGCAGTTTTCCAATTCTTAAAAGCAAATTTGCACATGCAAACATTATAGAAAATGGTCTGTTATTATGGGTCTCCTCTCCCCTTTTATCTTTTCCAGTAGTGAGGTATTATAGAAATTAGCCAGCTCCACGCCAGAGGAATAACAATGATCAGGCAGCTGCTGTTAATACATTTTCACTCAGTTATTCCAACCCGCAAAATTACAATTAAAGGAAAATAATCAGTTAACAGGGACCAAAAGAGGAAATGCAGTCATTTAAATGATTCAGAATCAGAAAGTAAAATCTGGGAGATATAATATATACATATATATATATATATATATAT